CGGGTCATTCTATGATTCTATGATTAATGGCTCATTTTCAGTAGTATCCTTGTGACTCCTGGCGTATGAATGAGACCCTAGAGGGTGTTTATAGTGCATCTATGTTACTTGGGGAAACAGTTGTTATATTGTAGATAGTATTGATGGTTTCTTTCAATTGCAGTTACATATTAACAGTTTTTCTCCATGTCTTTCAGATTAGATTAATGGGAAAGTAAGTATTTCCAGACATTAACGGCACAGGTTTATACCTCTACTTTTCTGGATGTTTTTGCTTTGTTTTTGCTAGTCTTGGAAGCTACTTTTGCTATATACTGTTGGAGCGTAAGGCAGCCAAGTGGAACAACTATGCAGATATTTAATAATAGTATGAGAAATCAAGCATGTTTTGCTTTGTCTCTGATTCTTACAGAAGAGGATTTGGAGTGTGCAGTGGTTTTTGGTTTAGTGAACTGCTTTGTTATTCATAATGGATTAATATCAGAAATTTATTTCCTTTTAGGAATTCTAAGGGATTGCTTTAATGGTTTATGGAGTCTTTGCAGTCAAAATGATACTCTATGCCATTATGCCTGTTTGGTGGTTATCTCAGTACAAGAGAGACACATTGGTAACATGGCTTTCATTCTTATGTAGTGTCTTAAAGTAGGTGTCCTGCTGGTTGAAATGCATAGGAAAATGTTCCATTGATGTCAGAACTAAACCAGTGAGTGGGTTAGAACAAAGCTAGTTGACTGAAGCTTGTTACTGCTTGTTAAATAGCATGCAGAAGTAATGAGAGGTTTTTTTGACTTCTGAAATACAAAGTCAACATTTTGAGTTGGGCAACTCTCTTCCATATGTTTAAATGACTTGGTAATATTCAGACAACAGGGACTGGAACAGACCCTCCTTTTCTCATGGCAAAGCCTGCCGCTTGTACCTTTTTACCAACAAGAGTTTCAGCAGTGTTAACTTGTTCAGCATTTTGGGTCTGTCTGCGTAGGTCAGATAGGAGGCTTGGTCTTTGAATTGTGGAGACTTCTGTGACTTCAGACATCAGCTTTAGAAGCTGTTGCTGTTGACAGAGCAGTCCTACTGACTCTGAAGGTAACAAGCAGTCTGCAGTCTATCCTGCTGTTTCAAATATGCTCTGTGAGGGGTGATCTAATAGCGCTGGAGTAAAACATTGGTGTCTTGGGAGACATCAAGACTCATTCTAAACCATAATCACTGTATCTCCTTCTGTCTGTTCATACTGTGCTATTCAGTGGATTAGCAAAATACTGCATGGGTACAAGTTATAAATTTATTTAGAATTTAGCCCTTACACCATACAAGAACATACCTATGTCTGTAACATACGTATTTGTGGTGTGGAACTAATTCTGTGTTGTAGTTTTTGTTTATTCAGTTACTGGATGTTATCATTCAGCTTTGGCACTCTCTGAGGCAGAATGTGCTTACATTTTCCATTTGTTTCTCATACTCCTTTCTCTCATGTTGACTAAAAAAGCCTCCAAATCCAGTGAATGACTAGGTTGCGGACTGTATTGGCATAATAAATCTGAGACCAATGTGAATTTTATGAGTTGTTCCAATCTAGGTGAGATAAGGCCTGAGGAGGTCTGGCAAAAGGCACAAAAGTATTACAGGAGCTTCACTATAAATGAGTTAAATAAAATATGCCTTAAGTTGTTTATCAAGAAATTTAAACTGTATTGTGTTGGGCACCAGGACTGCTAAGGGAAATGACACTTGAAACTTTGCTCTTCAGAGATATTTAGCTACATAAAACCCTGCAGATTGTTACAAGGCAAAATAATCGGAATACCTCTAAAACTGGAGAACTGTCTTAAAATCTTTTGCAGTATTTTATGAATGAGACCTGATAATATTTTTGCCACTGATTTTTAATAAATGACTTATAATTGGTGTTTTTGTAGCACTGTCACTTTTCTGCAAGCCAAATCCTTGTTCTACTAAAGCAGGTTCTTCAGGACATGTCTTCTAACTTTTGATTTCAGTATAGTATTTTCTGTGGAAAAAATCTTGACTCTCAAAACTTCTCACACACAAGTGCAACTGAATGTTTAATACAGGTAGCTCATTTCTTCCCTCTGTCTTTTTCTTCTGCTACTCTTTAGGCACTCTGTGAGTCTGCTCTTCACACTCCCTATGACAGCTTGAAACTGGGCATGCTGTCTGTTCTTTCCACCTTATCGGGGACCATTGCCATTAAACAGTACTTCAGTGGTGCTCCAGGTAAGAAAACTAGGTTAGATTATTGTCTTTGACATTCTGATGGGTTGGCTATCTACTAATAATCAGTTTCATATAAACACTTTGTAGCATAATCTTAAACTATTTTTGAACTTCAGAACATTAGCTGAGAGTCAGACTGTTCGTCATATGTAAACTTAAAATTGGATACTGTATACCTGTGAATAGTCATGGTCTAAGATTTTGTTCTGGATTTTGTGGGTAATATGTATATGAAAGGGTGTTTTACCTTTGGGTCTTCAACTTTTCTTAATTTTATGAAGAAACATAATGTCTCTCAAATGGCTGACCTGCATTCTGTGTAAGGGGCTTTGAAACCATGGAGTTGCATACTTTCTGAGTAGCACAGAAACGTGTGGGAATGACCTGCTTCAGTACCAGGTGAACCTTTCTGACTTGTGACTCTGTTCTGGAGAAATAGAGTAGACATTTTAAAGTGAATCAAGGTATCTTGTTCTTAAAATGGTGATTGTACTGTTTTATTTTTTCTTCTTGAAAGCTAGGCTGCCCTGATGAGTATTATGAGCCCAACTACTTGGGATGCAGAAAAGGAGAAAAATAGTGCATCGTCTTAAGTCATTCTTGCATTGTCTTAATAATTAATATGCTCACCAGCTTTTTAAAATCAGATATGATCTTAAGACATATTTCTGAGTCCCTGAGACATCAGCCTTTAGACCCAAATTCTCTCTCATGTATGTCTAACTTGTATAGTGTTCAGGAGTGGAGGGAGAGCCTGTATTTGTGTGTGGAGACAGAGAGAGAAAGATCTGTTTTCATCCTGTCCTTTAAACATATGGGAAAAAATAATCGTGAGCCAATATAGATTTTTTTTGCAGAAATGTACTTGAAAAGATCTGTGGTGTAATTATGGACTGTGCTGTTTTATGTCCTGTTTGCCTTGTCTTTATTTAGGAACAGCAGCTACAACTGCAAGATCGTTTGATTTAGTAAAACTAGCACAGGAGTGCTGTTACCATAATAACCGTGGTATTGCAGCTCATGGTGTGAGAATTCTGACTAATATATCAGCGTCTTGTCAGGAAAAAGGTAAATGAAAGCAAGGGCAATGAAATGTGTCTGTTTAGTCAGGCTTATGCACTTAACACATATTAGCTGGTCTTGTCTGTGAAGGTGTCTGTAAATTTGTCTCATCATTCATGCTGGCTAGGGAGAATGGGGACTATAATCTAGTAGAAAATATTCTGTATCATTTTATGAATGGTTGGGAAGATTCCATCTTGGTCTAAGTTAGAGAAAATTAATGGGCACAGCAGAACCCTTGCTAAATAAATGCTCATCTTACCTTTGCTGTAAGACTAGTGAATTGTATGTCAACCTCTGAAAACTCTTAGCACAAAGTCTGTTGCAAATGAGTAACAAGGCATCTAGAAGTCTTAGTCCAGAGACTTATGCATGCTCTACAAATGTCACAGTTGGTGTGGCTGCTGAATAGTTACCTGAGACATGGAATGGCAGGATTGTTTCTGATCAAAATAAGGTAAGGCAGAAGTATTCGAAAGATAGTTATCTGTCATGACTGCAACACCAGTGCAAGCATTACACTAGTTACGGTCAGAAAACATAACAGGGAACTAACTTCTGTGTTTTACTTTTCTTAGATCTTCTGCCTTTGGAGCAAGATGCAGTTTTTGGCTTAGAGTCGCTTCTTGTTCTTTGTAGTCAAGATGACAGTCCAGGAGCTCAGGCAACCTTAAAGGTGACTTTCCCTAACACACCTGTAAGTTACAGTAATAGCTTGTATAACACAAAGGCTAGTGTGGACCAGATCATTTCTGGTGGAAGCATAACATACTGGAAGGAAATGAAGTTTTTTCCATGCTTTGCCTGTAATCAGAGTGCAGAGCAGTAGAGAAACTGAGTGCAACTATAGTGCAACTCCTCTCAGCTCTAGAGTAAGTTGGTTGTTGTAGGGAGGAAAAAAAAAATGCGTTTCTCTCCAAGGAACAAATGTAATAAAACATGAACTTGAACGTAAGGTGGAGGTGTCTCTGGAGGATGAAGAGAATCTTGGAGAGAAACTGCTTTATGGAGATGGGGATGCAGTATACATGATTACAACACTGTTACAAACTATTATTTTTATTTTCCCACTTCATAAGCTGCTGCCATTAATTTTGTCTAGTTATTTACCTGTAAAGGCTGTGATATGAGAAAGATCATTGGTTCTTGAATTCGTGATATGTTTTTGTGCTGGGAGCTAAGGGATGGAGGCTTGGGCTCTTAGAAGTAATCTCAAGTTTTGTAGAGTACATGGTTCTGAAAATACCAGATCTCCTATACTTCTGCAATCATACTTGCAGATAAGTGTGTCTGGCTTGTATTTTTAAGTAGACATTGTGTTTATTGTGCTTGATGATTGTGTGAATTGCAGATCACGCTGACTTGTATGGTGAAGCTAGTCAAGTGCCGTCCTCACCTGAGCCAGTCAGTGGTTGAATCTCTGCTGACCCAGTTGCACAGTGCGCAGGATGCTGCTTGGATTCTCATGTGCCACTGTTTAGCAGCTATTGCCATGCAGCTGCCTGTCTTAGCAGATGGGATGCTAGGAGACCTCATGGACCTCTATAAATTAATTGGACGATCTACCACAGATAAAAAACAGGAACTCTTGGTAAGACCTCCCTCTGGTGAATAGGCCTTGATGGATTAACTCTATATAAGCTACTGTGGATGGATTTAATTTAAAAAGGTAGCTAAGCCATTTGTTGTGTCCAAGTTGGTGTGCCTGTTAACAGCCTTATTTTTAGTTTTGCTTTAACTTTTGGCTATGTATGTCAGAGTTCAGTGTTGAAATCACATGTCATAGATGGAGCTGAACTATGCAGTGTATTCCATTAGATTTTTCCAGCAGATGGCACTGCTTTGCCAAACCTAGGTATTGAAATTATTGGGATATCTGTAAAATAATGGTTACAGAAAAACAAAATTGCAGTTAGCTCAATTTATGTATGTGCTCTGACGCACAGGACTTCTAATGTACTGTAAGAGATAATGCTGTTATCGCATCTATTTGGAAATGAGTTTGAGTTTTAAGAAAGAAATTACAAGCTTCCTATTAATTCATTTGGAGCATTTGAAATATCTCAGTTAAAAGCCACAGTAAAGGTTCTTTAAATGAAAGTGACTGTCGTCTACAAGAAATACTCAGATTGCCATAGCTACTTAGATATATGGGTGAGAAAAGTTCCTGAGTTAAAATGTATGCATAATCTTCTGTGTAGTTTTGACAAAATCAAGCAGATTGTTTCCTGTAGTTTAGGAAACAGAATTGGCTTTTTTTCTTGTTTTGTTTAGTTCCTGAAATATAACCTTCTTTACCCCTCTGCTCTTTGTTAGGTTTCTCTTGCCACAGTGATATTTGTTTCTAGTCAGAAAGCTTTGTCTTCGGAAATCAAAACTGTTATCAAACAGCAGCTTGAGAATGCCTCCAATGGATGGACAGCCTACAGGATAGCCAGGCAGGCTTCCAGAATGGTAAGTGAAAATACCTGGAGGAAAATGGCTTGGTGTGGTTGGAAGAATGCTATTGATTTATTTGAACTGAAAAAGGGAAGTAAGGAAAATAGTAGGACTTGGGAGGAGGAAGTGGGCAAAAAAAAAGTAATTTTCCCTCTTAATTCCTTGGATTGCTGATTCAGATATATGCCATTTAGGGCAGTCATCCCATTAGGATGGTTTTTCATTTGTCTTCAAGTATTCGAGAAGGAGGAAAGTAATGACCTGATACTTTCTTGAGCGCATACATAATCTGCATTGTCTAGCTGTTCTTCAGAAGGCCATCCTGATGTGTGCTTCTCTTTCTTCAACATGAAGAAAGGAAGAAAAAGATACTGTTTCCCTTTTCCCTTCCTTGAAGTCACAGCTGGGGTTAGAATTGTGTAGAAGCCCTAGTATGAGAACCTGGGGTAATTTTAAACAGGTAAAGTACATATGGCACTGAGAGGACAGAGCATAGCTCTGATTTTAGATCTGGGCTCATTTGATAGTTTTAAACCCAATGTTTCTGTGGGGATGGAAGACATGTTTTCAGTAGAAAATAAAAGTCAATTTTGATATTCATTTCTCATCTTGTTGAAATATCTTGTGCAAGTAAGTACTATACCTTATACAGGCTGATATGTCCATAAAATAAGCATTTGTGCTTTTATTTATTTTTAGGACTGTCATGGTCAAATGATTGGAAGAAGTTTCATTATTCTTGTTTTTAAAGCAAGACTAACATCTCTGCTGGAGATGGTTACTGTTCTCTTATTTGTATTTGCTTCGTAGAAACCTGCGGCCTTCTTTTGTGTCCTCTCTTATAAACTTTCTTGTCATTACAGGGCAACCATGACATGGCCAGAGAACTGTATGAGAGCCTGCTGACTCAGGTGGCTTCAGAACACTTCTACTTCTGGCTGAACAGCTTGAAGGAGTTCTCCCATGCAGAACAGTGTCTAACAGGTTTGCAGGAGGACAACTATAGCTCAGCGCTTTCTTGCATTGCTGAAGCTTTAAAATCCTATCACAAAGGAATAGCGTCACTTACGGTTAGCACAGATCTTCTACTTTATCAATGATGTTTCTGTATACTGCAGCAGGTCTGTTTGGTTTCTGTTCTAAAACATCTGAAAAGTTTTTAAACATGTCTGACATCTGCCAGACTCTCTTTTTGAGAGGACTGCAAGGAAGAGCCAGTTGTTACACACTGCATCTTCAGAGAGAAGATCCTGTAGCTCAACAAAGTGTGATTAGCCAGATTTCTCCTTTTTCTTTTCTTCCCTCCCCCCCACCTCCTGCCTTTTTCAAATCCTATGGTATGCGACAGATCTTTTTTAGAGTTACAGTTCTTAAAATTTTCCATTCCTTGTCTTGGCTGAATAAACACTATTGTAATAGTCAAGCCTGGGAATTTGTCTAAATTGGCTGCTGTCTTCTCAAGATACGGAGAGGGATTTCATTGTCTTCTTCCCTCCTGCTGAGTTCATGTTGCCTTGTATTTGACAATATGATCCTATGGAATTCTAACAACAAGGCAACACCAATTAAGTAGGAGGAGGGAGGACAATTCACTCTCATCAAATCAGCAGAATTCAGGTGGTACCTGCTTTTCTGCAAATACTTCCTGCTTCTGTGAAGTGGTAAAAATAGAAAGAAGCTGTGTGTGATGTCTGAATGTAAAAAAAGGTTTTGGGTAGGAACTGCTCTCCCTGGCACAAAACATACATCTCATTGGAAGCATCGTGCTTATTTTTCAGTTAGAGAAGATCCAGAACTTGAACAAAGCATTAATATAACCACTGATTAACTAGGACTAACTCCAAATATGTTGATAGCGAGTGGTGGTTTCATGAACTTGGCTGAGCCAAAGAACTTTGTTATTTTCCAAAAAGAATTGTGACTCTTATTGCCCATGGCTACATGAGTAGCAGATAAGGTAAGCTGCAGTATTAATGAGACAAGCTTGTATTTCCCTTTACAAGAATCCAGTCCAATTTGTGCTACTAAAAATGTCTGGATTTTTCTGATATAAGTACTGGTACTTTACTCTCTATAGAAGCATGTGGTCTCTGTAAGGTAATTACAGTGCAGTGCAGTGATATCTCTTGCACAGAGGATTTTCTGAAACCATCCTTGCAGAATAAACTGAACAATTTCCATTCGAAAGGGGTTTTTTTATGCCCTTGGAGAAGGGAAGGCAAAGTGGTAGATAAGAGTGGCTGAATGTCTCAAGTGATGAAATAGTCTTATTTCTTTGGTTGAAATCCAGCTCAGTAGTTTAAAGTGGTTGCAGTTGACTGATGTTTCCTCGCTTTAGTCCATAGTGGGCCAGTTCGCAGATGACGTGATGTTTTGTGAGAAACTAGTTTTCGGCTTTCCTGCTGGCGAAGAAATAGTTCTTATTAAGGTTTTGGGATGGGTCATCACTTCTTGCTTCCAGAAGTGACCTTTTCTGTTGAAGAATAAGAAGCACTAGGGAAGACATGCATGAGTTTAACATACATCCATTCTCTGAGTAAGAGAAGGTCCCAGTGCTTTGTTTTGCAGATGGCTCTTTTCCCCCCCTAAAGAAAAAAGTGTACTCTTCTCAAAATCCAACAGTGTAAGAAAAATGAGTAGTGGATTTTTGGCTTAACTAATATCAAATCTTGAGTGCTGCTTTTTACCCCCTCCTGGGTGTCCTAAGCTGTCACAGATGCTTCTACAAGTCAGATAAGTTCTTAAGGAATAGAGTTTCACAGAACCATGTGTTTTAAATAATAGCAGCATGTCTACCCTCCTGGATTTCCATTATTTTCTGGTCTTAGCTGTCACTGAACTGTGTCTCTGCTTTCATCAAATGTTCAGTGCCTCCGTAATGTTCCTGTCCATTTCACAGTTCAAGAAAAAAACAAAAGGTTATCATCCCATCTTCCTGCTGCAGGTAACTTTAGCCAATTCTTTCTCTGTTGGCTGATGCAGAGAATCACTTTTTCAGTCCTTTGTGTTTCTGTTTGGCTCCCAATTCAGTGTGCTCTCTCTTATAGTAAGGACTGTCTGGACTGATGTAATTTAAGGCCTAATGGCTTGGCCTTGGAAAAAGAGGAAATAAGTGCCCTGATAGCATTGTAACCGCTTAAGTCACATTTGTTACAAGGGTGATAACACTTGAAATATGTCTTGGTAGTTACCTAACTTCTGTGCTGTTTATATTCACTATGATTTAGTTTGAGTAAATCTGTTAAATGTAGTTTTAAAAAAAGCAGCTTTTAGAATTGAACTGAAGGGTTCAGTTGCCTGATGAGACAGTTCAGTAACATTCCAAAGTTATTTTATCGTGTTTTGCTTTCGACCTAGGTTGCTGTCCTGGTTTCAGCTAGGGCAGAGTTAACTCTCTTCACAGTAGCTAGTGAGAGGGTATGTTTTGGGTTTGTGCTGAGGAGAAGGCTGATCACACACTGATGTTTATAGTTGCTGCCAGGACAGTCAGGGACTTTTCAGCTTCTCTGCTGTGCCAGTGTCTGCAAGTACAAGAGATGCTGGGAGGAAGCACAGCCCCAATTACTAGCCTAGGCCTCAACCTTAGGTTTAGGATTGAGATTGAAATTGGCCGGTAGTCTATTCCATATCATGCACATCATGCTTAGTATATAGATGAGGGTCTGCCTGGAAGTGCTGTCTTGTTCTGGGTCATCTTTCTCCAGGTTGTTTTGCTCTCTTGATCAGCTCTTGGTCCAGACACTTGGGCTCTTATCTCCTTTCTGGGTTTGTGGTTTTGGGACTCTCCCTGTTGTGGGATCGTTAGCCAGGAACAGGCTGAGCCTTGGTCATTGGGTGGTGAGCAGTTTCACTGTGTGTCACTCATTTGTATATTTGTAAATTGCTATTATTATCATCACTATTATAATTATTATTTTCAATTTTATTGTAGTTTAGTTATTAAATTGTTCTTATCTCAACCCATGAGTCTCTTTTCCCTTTACACCTTTAATTCTCTCCCCCAACCCTGGGAGGGGGGAGGGTGAGCGAGCAGTTGTGGTGTTTTGCTGCCAGGCAGTGGTTCAAAACCAGAATTGCCAACATTTCTATTACTGTGTTTCAGGCTGCTAGTACGCCACTTAATCCTCTGAGCTTTCAGTGTGGATTTGTGAAACTCAGGATTGAACTTTTGCAAGCTTTTTCTCAACTTATTTGTACCTGCAACAGCCTAAAAACAAGTCCACCGCCAGCTATTGCCACAACAATTGCTATGACATCAGGAAATGATCTCCAAAGGTGTGGACGCATCTCTAACCAGGCATGTGTTCTTGTTCCACTCTTGTGCGGTTATGTTTATGACTCTGGTATGAATTTTGCTTCTCAGCAAACATATCTGATGAAAGAAATGAAAAGTGGTAGTGAAGAGTTTTGCTAAATAGTGGGCCTTGTTTTTCACCTGTAGGTATAAAAATGCCTGCCTGCCTCTAGCAGGCCATATTTTGAAGTTGAGCATGTATGTGTGTTTTCTCATACATTCACGTGCCCAACTTCAAAGGATACGCATGTAGTAAGCCACTCAGCACACTCAGACTTGCAGCAAGACTTTTCACACCTTGTTTTGAGACACCTCAAATACTGTGATTACACTAAGGAAGAATATATACTTTAGGATTGTACTGCAACTTCTTTGAGTGTTGGCAACTGACTTGATACCCCACAGAACACCAAGACTGCTTCTGAACTGCATGTAGTCTGTAAGAAGGAATCAGTGGGTAGTCTTTGAAAGACAGCAGTTTGATTTACCAGTAGGGGATGGGAGAGGTGGTTGGTGGGGGATTTTAGTTTGCTTTATTTTTAACACAAGCCCAGTATGTTGGTACTGTGTTAGAGGAAAAATATCTTTTTAGTGTATGGATAATAATCTGTCACTTTTTGAATTTTATCTGTGTGAAGAAGCAAGAACTTTATATATTTTGCTAGAGTACATTGTCATATTCCTTCAGTGTTGTATGTTATAGTGTAGTGGTTTCCTGGATGTGTGGGGTTTTGTTTGTTTTGCTTTGATTTGATTTTTTGACTACTAACATTGTCTCTTTAGATGAAACACTCAATGGAGGAATTTCGAAACCTGGCAACACGGTACGGAGATCTGTATCAGTCATCTTTTGATGCAGACTCAGCAACTCTAAGGAATGTAGAACTGTATCCTTTTAAAATCTTAGAATTTGTCCACTTTCCTTCTCATGTGGACAGCATGAAGCTCAACAGTCCTCTTTTCTGTGAAGACTGGCACAAAGTTGTTTGGAAGCAGTTAGCAACATAAAAGTTAGGTACCAATTGCTTAAAATCTATTTGGAAATAAACACTGCTGTACTATTGTTTGGAATTACTTTGAGCGAGTTATGATGCAAAAATTGCAACAGCATGAAACTTGGGATCTTCATAGTTCTTGCTGTATGTTTACTAAAGGAGTAATGACTGTAGGATTACTCAGAATCATAGAATGGTTTGGGTTGGAAGGTACCTTAAAGATCATCTAGTTCTGCCATTGGGAGGAGACTTCATAAACTGGAGAAATAAGGAGAAGTACCAGTAATTATATTGCATTTCTTATTTTGGATGACAACTTTGTAAGTCTCTTAAGTCCTTAGTATTAATATCAGACAACAGCAGAGCTGCCTGTTGATTTCACATGCAATAGAAGCTCTGATTTTGGATCCAGAATCTGCAAAGTAAGTTTTATAGTTAACTTTCTACTCCTTTGCTGTTTATTTCTAAATCCTTGGGGTTTTAAGCCTAGGAATTCAAAGAATGTTCAAAAAAAAGTTTCTCAGTTAGACCCTTCTGATTCGGCTCTGGGCAGGCTTGAGGACATGTTGCTGCTGTGCAATACCTGGCAGGATAGGGACTGTGTTTTGGGTTCTGCATTTTATACTGATTTTGCTCTTGAGAGCACTATACTGGATTTGTCTTAAATATAGACTGGCATTAAAATAAAAACCAACTTTTAATCTCTTCTTTAGCTACCTGTTTTAACTTGTGTCATTCTGTGTTAGCTCCCATACCCACTGTTTGCACTTGTAAGCACACATTAGTTTCCTTCAGAGTCCTGAAAATACATGCACTAAATTAGTTTACATTTCCAATGTAAATCCATCATCTCTGGCTCTTTTTTAACAGTGAACTTATACACACTAGAAAATCATGTTGAAGTACCTATGAATTCAATCATTCTTTAAAACTCTGAGGCTGAGATTAAATGGAAGAGAATGTGGATAAACATATTTTTAAATGTGTGATTTTATAACTGGAAATAAAAGTGAACATCCTAGCGACTGTCCTACTCATTATGAATTAGGCATTGCTTAGAAGATGTATTAATCGTACTTGTAAAAAGTATGAAGCTGTGGACTTCAAAACATCAGGTGTCTAGGAGATGGAACTGTATTCAAAGCATGAGATTCTAGAATTCCAGATTTAGTCGTAACTCTTGGCTGGCATTCTTGTTCTTCATTGAGTTGTCAGACTTTTAAAAACATTATAAATGCTGCAGGTTGAAATAAAAGCCAGGGGAATTAAACACTGCAGCTTAAGTAAAAGCTAGGGGAATTAAGTGTGCTGAGTCTTAGACCTGTAACTGCTTCAAGTGACAGAAGATGGGAACAGAACGTGTTGGATAAGCTGAAGTTAAAGGGTTTAAATGTAAAGGGCAAGTCTTATAGTGGAAGAATAATAAACAGGGTAAACAGTTTGAAAGACGTAATTGTTTCTTAATGGATTTTGAGTTGTAACAGAGGATGGTCTTGTTGGGCCTGTTTGGGAGTGAGCCTCCCAGATTACGATGAGGAATGTATGTTAGACATGATGAAAAGTTTTATTTTTTTAGTTTCCAGGAATATAGCTCAAATGGAACAGCACATGTTGAGAGTGAGTATGAAAGAAGAATGATGTCTGTATTTAATCATGTACTGGAAGAAGTGGAGTCCCTCAACAGGAAGTATGCTCCTGTGTCTTACTTGGCAAGTATCGGTTTTAATTGTATATTCTGTAGACAAAGGTTCCAAAAACTTGGCAGCTTCATATACCTATGATGGTCAAGAAACTGAAGACCACACTTGATTAATTAACATAACCTCTTACTGGCACAAGTGGTCTCCATGGAGACTCACTGCTTCAAAAATACTTCAAAAAAGGTTTTGCTAGGATATCTGTAACCTTACTGGTCTGTTCAAAAATATTATTTTAAAAATTCTGATACTAAGAATATAGCAGATGCTGATAAGATATCTAAAAGTAGTGTCAAGTCTCTGTCAGATCTCTCCCCACACTCACATTCAAATACTGAAGCGTATTCTCTTTGTGCTTTTGTTGTGAAGGAATTCTTCCCCTGCTGCACTCAGTGCTGGAGGGTCCAGCACTAGCCTAGCTTCATTGCTGAGCTGTTGGCAGTTAATACTGTGTTTTGTAGTATAGCATTTCTCTTATCAATGCAGGTCATCAGAGAACACAATGTGAAGTGTGCCGAATGCAAACAGTGAGCTGATAATGAACTCCTTTACAGGGCTAGTGTGGTTTCATCTTCTACTGTTAGTGAACGTCATAAAGCTGAAGTGCATGTTGATGGAACAACGTAGTTCATTTGTCATGGCTGGCATCTATTTGCCTTGTTTCTAAATTCAACTGCCGTTACCAATGCCAAATAGAATAGAATGAGTTGTGTAAAATGTAGCAGAGGTAAACCCTGTAAACTTGTCACTGCCTCCATATCAGTGCAGCTCGGTGGCTTCAGTAGTGCTGCCTGTCGTCGTGTGAGCCAAAAGGACAGTATAGTGCAGTGGGGAAAGGAAGAGTAGACAAGAGGCATGTGTGAGAGTTTCAAACAGATCCTGCTCTGCTGACTAACACTAGGACCGAAATTATTTGGATTTTTCTTTTTCTTGGCCTCCTTATTCTTTCCAGAGCAGAGTACCTTCTTTGTAAAGGGTAGAATATAAACGGAGAGACTGAATGTACTCACTGTCATCATAGTGGCTGTTATCGTGTAACTGTATCAGTATATAATTCTGGACTTCTTGTGGAAGTTACTGCATTTTCAGTACCTCAAGTGCATGTCTTTTTCCTGTGCTATGAATGATATTTTTTTCTCAACTGTTTGGGCTCTGTTTCTTACAGCATACAGCTTGTCTGTGCAATGCTGTCATTGCGTTGTTGAAGGTACCCCTTTCATTTCAAAGGTACTTTTTTCAAAAGCTGCAGTCTACAAGTATTAAGGTAAGTACTGCTCAAATGTGGCCTAAAATTTCTCTTTATAGGGTCTTTAATTTATAAGAAAAGCCTTACTGAAGGCACAAAGCTTCAGCATTTTTAGTGAAGATACTTAACTGCAAATAGCATCTGGGCTTGTCTGTTAGGAACAACTTCAATAATATGTACATATGATTGGTAAGAACCACTAGGCTGTGACTTAGGCAAGTAGGATTCAGTTCTTTGATTGCAAAGCCTTAAAGATAATCTAACTAGAATTTTTGTTGATTCTGAGTCTGCAAAGCTAAATAATGTTCTAGTCCTGGGAAGTGAACTTCTATAAATTTGCATTGCTTTTCCTTGAAAAAAGCAATGTTTACTATCTTGGAAGAAAATTGTACTATATGTCAGCTGAGTAAGAATGGCTATATGTGACCTTCAGTGGTAATTTTTTTCTCAAGTGCTCCTTTTTTTCTGGGAAAAGTGAAAGCCTTAGGTTTTTTAATATTTACTCTTATTGCATTTTACTGATTTGTTCAGCTTAATATACTTACCTGTGGCTATTTAGTAGAAGACTTATTCTGCTTCTTTTGAAGAAATGCAATTAATGGAACCCGTATAAAGACCACATCTGGTATAGCTGGTGATGCTTATTAATTATTATAGTAATGAGTCTCAGATATAAGTTCTGTGTTTCCATTTGCTGGTTTCCCTGCCAAACCCCTCCATTGACATTTTTCTTTAAGTGTTTCGTCCTTGAACTTTTTGCTTTCCTGGAGGTATAAAATTTCATTTGTCTGTTTTCTTGTGTTTCAGCTTGCTCTATCCCCATCTCCAAGGAACCCAGCAGAACCTATTGCAGTACAGAACAATCAGCAATTGGCCCTGAAGGTGGAAGGAGTGGTTCAGCATGGATCTAAACCAGGCCTCTTCCGTAAAATCCATTCGGTCTGTCTAAATGTCTCTTCAGTGCTGCAGAGCAAATCTGGACAAGACTATAAGGTATGAACAGAATAGAGCCAGGAGGAGTCTTAAGCTTTCTTGCTGTACTTTCTTGCTCTTTTGTTTGGCTCTGATTAGCAGAATTTTCAGGTTGAAATGAATGAGTTCTGTAATCCTCTCACTCCTGATAGTTGATATTCAGGCACTGGTAGGAACCAGGCGTAGTGCATGGAAATGATCTGTGATTTTGAAGTCTGCTGTATGCTGATACCTTTTTAGTAACAACTTTTCTTCTAAACAAAAGAGGTTTTGTGATGCTCAGAACAAGTTATTAGTAATCCACTTGAGATCAAGAAAATTCAGCCTAGCTATATATCATGAAACTCCAAAGGGTGAAAAGGCAGGAGGAGATTAATCTGATGCTTTAATCCTCATTTTAAGGTTTTTTTTTAATGGAGATCAGGAGGACAGGCTGTCCAAATTAAATAGCACCTGAGGGGATACATATTAAATGGAAGTCAACAGTTTTATCAAAGATTGCATGTCTGAAGTTCAGGTTCTGCTAATGTGTGATGTTCAGAGAAAGGCCTGTTTTGGTGGGGTTTGGGGTTTTTGTTTTGGTTTTTGGGTTGTTGTGAGGGGGAAAAGAAAGTCAGTTGCTTCTAAAAGAAGAATAGGACTAGGAAGTGTGTAATGTTTGACTCGTTTTACTTTGTGGAAAACGAACCTCAGGGAGAAAGATGTGTTAGCTACCTTGCTTCTGCTAATAGATATATAAATAACTTATTGATGAAAAATCATGTCAAGCTGGCTCATACATGCGTATGTATTGGTTTAGGAAAATTGAGGATGACGATTTTTTTTCTCCCTGCCCCCCCTACTCCTTCAAACGGAGAGCAGAAAACTTATTTTAGAAGGTTTATATAAAATGGCATTTTAACCTTCCATGTGTTCTCAGATTCCTATTGACAACATGACCAATGAAATGGAGCAGAGGGTGGAACCACACAACGACTACTTCAGCACTCAGTTTCTGTTAAACTTTGTGATACTTGGCACACACAACATCACAGTAGAGTCCTCTGTAATAGATTCAAATGGTATTGTCTGGAAAACTGGGCCTAAAACCACTATTTTTGTTAAATCTCTTGAGGATCCATACTCCCAGCAGGTTCGTCTTCAGCAACAGCAAGGACAACCGCCATCACAGCAGCAACAGCAAAGAACAGCATACTCACGGTTTTAATTCCCAGAAGTGACTCTATCCTGGTCAATGGTATTACAGTTTTTCTTGGACACTTTTTTGAAAGACCTACAATTTTAACCTTCTCCTAGAAAGTCTCAGATGCCAATTTGTTGCTTTTTAAGTTATCAGGGTAAATTTGAGCTTGATTCAGTGGAGGCAACTCTGTTCAAACTTGAAGCTCTGCTTTTAATATAAGAACTTCTACCTGATCTCTTCACTTCTGTTTACAAGCCTGTTGCATCAGGCTCCACAGACTTTGATAGCAGGGGACACTAAGAGCTTTTTGACTATACTTTCTGAACTTTCTTTTTTTTAAGCGCATAAGTTCTAGTGTTAGATTCACAGGACATCGGTAAACACTTTGGCTAGTTAATACGGAACTGAGTATAATACCAAGTCTGTATCTTGTAATGCGAAGGAATTGGCAGGAATATCCAGAGAAATTTTTTGCTGACATTTTAATAGCAACTTCCAGTATTTGGCTGGTGTATGTGTATTATTCATCAGCACTATTTAACGCATGCATATGAAAGAAAAAAAAAGTTGCAGCTCACTTTTCATACCCAGTCATTGTAGAAGGAGGAGACTGAGAGGTTGCTGTCTGGGGAGACTTACAAGGGGCAGAATTTTACAGTTGGGAACAATAACTGTTTCTCAGATAATATAGAAAATATTGCAATGTTGTTTTTAAAACTTTCATGTATCTGTATTTCTGAAGGCTTTGGTTTTGTTGGGTTTTTTGTTTGTTCTTTTAAGAGGGAAGTTAACTTGCAAGTTTTCTTTTGTTTTAACTTTTGTTTTTTTTTTAAATGAATTTAATTTATCAGAGCTTTGTAATCCTGTGTACTTTTTTAGTAACCTTAATTGTTACTTTTACAGGATAACTTGAAGGAGAATTTTGTCAATACTAGAAATTGATTCAGAATAATTTTGGAAATATGCTGCTTCATACGTAGTTTTCATGTTTCCTTTGAGATGTAAAAGGCTGAACTCTGCCTGTGTCTGGGCTCTTGGGCAGTAGATCACATAACATGTCTTTCACCTGGCCCTCATAAATAATCTTTGCTTATCACTCTCCAGGACCCACTTGAATGGGGAGAAGGAAGGATGGTATTTCTTACAGGCTTCAGTCTGTAAATGGTTTAATCCCTCTCATTGGAGCAGAAATTTTCATTATTATTTTCTTAGTAAATTCCTAAGATACTGTTATTTGTTCATGTTGATTTCACTGTAGAAGCTGAGTAGAGCTTACAGATCCTGCTTGCTTTTATATGCAGAGAATACGATAATGAATTGTTATGAGCCTATGTTTCTTTGGCATAGCTGGATGAAGCATTGTTTTTGCTGTGTTTTCCTGTAATAGTTGCTTAAGAAATCAACTTTCTTCCTCTTGGCTTGAGACTAACAAAAAAAAATAGAAGTGATCATTGGTATACTTTGTAATATCTTGGTCAGGCTGTAATCCTAAGAAGAAAAGATAATTGGGATGCAAAATAGAAATAGACTCACTAAACTGGTGAAAAATTTACCAGCATCCTTCTAAAATCTGATTTTTATTTTGTTCAGGAGACAGAAGCTACCACTGCACTTCAAGCTGGCTGAGGAAAGTGGTGGTTTCTGTCCTCACTGTTATGGTTATATACTTGCTGTTTTGTGTGTGTGTGTGTGTATATATATATATATACACAGCTATGTATGCATGCATGTATGTATACATGCACCTATAGCTACGTATAGTTACATGGCCCAGAAAGAGATGGTTCAACTTGGTGTTGTGCATGCAGTGTGTCAGATTGAAGATCTGAACTCTTGTGGTTGGCTGGGTTTTTTCATTAAAGTCATACATCAGTGTCTTAACCACAAAATCCTCCCTATTGTAATGCAAAAATTAAAAAAAAAAAGGCTAAGAGGACAAACAATTTTTTTATCCTGCTTAATGAATGTGTGTTTCTTGTTCTGTTATTGACGAATATGTTTTGCTGGAAACCTGTTTTGGAATGTCGCCATCACAACTTGGAAATGAAATGAAATTTCCACACTGGGGCGTAGACTTTTCTCATAAGTCATATGAGACTTCATAGTGCATAGCTAAACTTAGGAGGAGCCTAGTAGAACAAAACTTAACGAAGGAAAGCCATGACCTGGCCTGAGGCTTAATTATCTGTGAGCCAGTAAGATTAACCCTGCTGCAGTTGAAAAAATTGCTCCTTCTCCAAATGAGTTTGTTCACCTGAGCTGAGAGGCCTCTAGAAAGAACTCCAGGCACTTGTATCAATTTTGGAGTCAGGCAAATAATAACTGAAGTCTGAAAATCTGGATGCTAGGTGTGGGAGATTGTGGGGTGAGGGTAAGCGTCTTCTGGAAAATGGCAAGTAGTATCGGAAATTAGCTTGTGTAGGAAGGTGGCTTGCTGTGCAAGTATCTGAATTTATAACAAATTCTGAAGGATTTCTCATGCTGGCTCACTTGCAGGTTAGTTATATGTGCATGCTGATCAGGAAAGACTCTGGACCTGTTACTAAATTGTTTTATGTTATGGGGAGTTTGTAATGAGGTTATTCTTTGGGTGTTTGTTTTGTTTGTTTTCAAACACTCCGTATTTTTATTCCTAATACACTTGGCAAAAAGCAACCAAGATTTTACTAGAAATCAGTGACTCAGAATACCCAAAGAGAAGTGAGGAAGGGTGTTACAGTAACAGCAGCGTACAGAAAGCTGCTGTTGGTGCTCTCAGCAGTGAATGTGATCCTTGACTATTAATAGAAGCAGGGAGGTTATCTTGCTTGAATCCCACATTCTGTTTCTGGTGCCTGCATTTGAAGATGTGCAACAAAGAATCTAGAAAGTATTTCTATGATATATACCCAAGTTAAATCTCGTAGGGTTTCTCAACAAACAAAGCAGTAACTTGATCACTATGCATTGCTGCACACTGATAATGGAAGAAATTTTGGGTCTTTTCTTTCGTTTGCCAGTAAGCGAAAAAATTCGATGAGTAGACTTTGGTCTTGAGGCTGCTGCTAAGAATTCAGACAACAAAAAGGCTTATACAGGCAGCTACATCATTATCTAGTCTTAATGATTATCTAGTCTTAATGATAGAGGTATGTTTTAATCTAGCTTGGATAAATTCTTGGGCTGGGGAAGGGTGGAGATGATCAAATTAAGATGACCAGAGGTGTTCGTAATACAGTTCTGCATTAAGCCAACAGTAATTGGTGCTTAGGCTCTAGAAATTAACCTGAGTTCTGTGTGGATGATGTAGCCAGTTACTCTAGGAAGTACTTAACCACTCACATTCTTGTGAACCTGTGCTCAGACATACCAGAAAGTGTAATTTCTAGCTTCCTGGCTGATCTCTTGCTCAAGGCAATCTGGAACTCAACAAGGGGGTAGGGCAGGAATTTCCTCTGTCAAATTCTGCCTTCCTCTGGAGTGTAATCTCCTGCTAAGGTCATTTAAGTGTGTTTCATAAGTGGTTCCCTAAAGTTGCCCTCATCATGGGTATTCATGGCATCTTAGGCTTCCCTTTCTTACCACTTTTGTTTCCTTGGATATACACTAATTTTACCTGAGGACTGAAATGCCTTGATTTAGCTAAGGTTTTTGTATTTGATAGTGGATATATGTATATCTTTGACTTAAATCCTGTGAAACTGTATAGGAATTGGACCGGTTTAGGAGCAAGTTCAATGGTCCTTTGAACATATGTATAAACTTTTAAAATTCTTTTCTTCAGTGATTTCACAACTTTAGTTAAAAAAACCCCAAAACTTACTGATGGAATTGATAGGATTTGAATGAGTTGTATTGTGTTCCGAAAATTTATTTTGAATTATGTTCAGTGTGTGCGTGTGTATCCATATAGAGAAAGTGAGATCTTGTACAACAGAGTCTGGAAGCATCTTGCCTTCAAAGTAGCTATATTTCTTTTCTGGCTGTTGTCTTTCTGCTGGCCTACAGTGCTTTGCTGTCTCCTTGGTCAGCATATTTACACGTGTGCCCTTTTAATTCTTAGCAGCATCTTCTCAAAACAGTCTGTTCCTTTTTTAGCAGTGCAGGTGCAGTCAGCATCTTAGACAATGTAAGAAGAGGGTTCAGTGAATTTTGAGAGAAAAATCTTTCTCTGGCTAGAAAGAACCTGTGGCAATGTCTTGAACTGTTTAGTTTACTGGACACCTAACTGTAGGAAAAAGCTGCATTTTTTTTTTGTCACTGCTAAACCAGTGACCCAGTACAGCTCTCCTATTGTGTAGAAAAAAAACTTGGGCCATAGCCACTTCATGGTTAAAAATAATTCCCCCCCCCCTTTTTTTTTTCAATGGATAGGGTGTCCTACATTCACATTCTGTCAGATTTGAGTTTGAGATTTTCAAGAAGTCTTTTAAAACTCTGATTAATAAAAGCAATTGTTTGAAGTTTTTAATGGATATCAGTGGTGACCACAAAGCTCCAAAGAAGATAGAGGGTTGGATGATTTAGAATATTTTTGCTTAACATTTTGAGACTCACTGTCTGTCCATCTTCTAGATCTTCTCCCTGCTCACTACAAGTACTGAATTTAAGGAGTGCAGTTAATTTGAAATTAATAGCTGTCCATGCTTACTACACAGCTTCTAACTACGGGGCAAAACCAATGAGTAGCAGTTGAACTAGAAGAGACTGTGATAAATATAAATTGAATGGTATGTGGATGAGTGGACTACCAAAGATGATGGGTAAATCTTCAGGGGACGGTTTCATGCTTCACTTAATGCAGTCTTGGTGTCTGGTGTTGCTGACAGGGGCTCTCTCTGCTGCTTATTCCTGCCTCCATCTTGGCTCTTTGCGTCAGATCATGAGTTTACCCAGTTGTAACAGTTTTGTTTTGCTAGGGTGTTTTTTCAGCTGACTCAGCAGGTTTGTCTTGGTTGACTGCAGCAACTTGCTCAATGGAAGCCAGTACAAGGAGGTGCTAGGGAAGACCTATGGTGTAGCCTAGAAAGTAATAATCAACTGTTGGACTGACCATGCATCT